AGAGACGGAGGGGGGGGGGGGGGGGGGGGAAGCATATAACATGATTTGGGGACATTTACAGAATTGGGTGTTAGACCTTACTAGCTCCTCCAACCTCACCCTCTATATCCCCCCAATACTACGCCCCGACTGTGCACAGTACCTGCTGGGGGAGCGGCTATCTCCCTCTGAGGAGGAGTCGTGTTGATGTTTTGGAGAAGCGCTGGGTGACCTGCAGGGAGAGGAAAGAGGGGACGTCAGGAGATATTTACATACAATTCATGTTCAACGCACATCTACAGGGACCCAGCGACGCCATCACCGGGTCTCCCTGCCAGTTCTGGCTCCATATGAAAGAGCTTGGTGAGGGAAGCCGGTAGGCCGATGTAAAATGGCGCGGCATCCTGCCTGGTGCGTGATATAAAAAAAGACAACATACAACGGAGTGTAAATCAAGCAACTGATCAGCAGATCGCACCGCTAAATTCTGCGGCACCCAGGAGGACAGCGTGGACGCTGGAAGGCGGCTTCACGTGTTGCTAGGCAGCCTGGCAGCACGCAATGGCCCGCCTCCCCGATTGCTCAACAAGCCATGCTACCTAGTAATGCCGGCAGGCTGGTCATGATGTGCTGCCCGCCCTCCTGATTGGTCAGGAAGCCGGTGTTTTTTTCACTAGAACAACGGCTACCAGGAAGCCGGCCAAAGGGGGTCATGACCCGCCGCCCGACTTCCTGACAATCGGCGGCACCGGTGTGTACTCAATACCAAAAAACAGGTGTCAGTGTAACCCTAGCAAAAATGATTGATGGCAGAAAGAGCCAATGGCTGTCAGGGGCGGGCCAAGGACAGTACAGATCAGGGGGAGAATCGATGAACGGAGGTCAGGGAATTAAGGGGGGGAGGGGGGTTATTAGGGTTATTAGCTGCTGCAGCTTCGAAGGGTCACACTGTAGAAGCGCGGGGGGAGGAGTTGCTCCGAGTGCGGGGACAGAATGTAAAATCGACAGAAAGGCGAGAAGTACCGGCCTCCTACCTCTTACTCTTCTTGTCCTTCGCTTTTCTCTTGCTTTTAGGGCTCGGTGACCTGAAAAGGGATTAAAGCCGTCATCAGACCATGAGGGATACCGGG